CTCTCTCCCCCTCCCTCTCTCTCTCCCCCTCCCCCTCTCCTCCCCTCCTACACCACTCACACACACAATTAAAAATAAAATAAATCTTAAAAACATTTTATTTTAATTCTAAAAAAGGAAAAAGCTAGCTATATGACTTAAAGGGGGACAAAGAAATAAAAAAATATTTTCTGTCTCTTTAAAGTAGTTTTTATTGATTGAGAGGAAGACACAAAAGGCCATTAGTTGTTGATGGTTAACTTTCTTGAAACAGACATGCTCATTTGTTAATGCCCTCTGCTATCAAGAATGAGTTTCTACATCTGTCTAATTTTTGCTATAAAAATTAAAGTACTTATTAATTTTAGTGCTTAAAAAAAGAACAGGCTTAGACAAATTTGTCTAACTTGAATATGGTTTTCTTTTTTATGTATGTAGGCAAACTTGGCCATGGTGATACCAACAGAGTATATAAACCCAAAGTTATTGAAGCTTTACAGGGAATGTTTATTCGCAAAGTTTGTGCCGGGAGCCAGTCTTCACTTGCTTTGACATCAACGGGGCAGGTAGGCCTGAGGAATGAGCTTGAAAGAGAGTATTTCAATGGACTAGGTAACTAAAAAGTGATCATTTCAAATTTAGAAATAAGGGAAAAACATTTTAAGATAACATATTAAGATAAAAATACTATTTTGTTGCAAGTGTAGTAGATGAAAAGGAGCCAGGTTTTCTTACCTGCTTGTGTGACCTGAATACATTTTCTTTCATCCCTCTTTTCTTTGAAGTAAGTTGATTTGATAAATTCATTTAGTGCTTAGAACCCTTTAACCCTCTCGCCCAATCATTGAGGCACCCAAAGGCTCCTTCCTATTATAGAATAGTGGAGGAACACAAAATAAAAACTTAAGGGGACCATGGCATGAACTGAAAAAGTAAGATAATCAAAAAAGAGGGTAAAGAGGACACCTCCAGATGGAAAGTGTGGTGGTACCAATGAGGGCCAGGCACAGTGAGGAATAGTGACCGTGTTTCCCTCCTGGTGTTCATCAGCCACTTTGGCCTTGAACATAGGATCCCATTGTGTGCCAGGACAAAGAAGATGACCAGCAAAACTGACATTCACATTTAATTTTGTTGCTTTTTGAGAGATGAGTGTTTCGAATGCTGAAAAATCTAATACAAACTATTTATTTTATTATAGAGTCAGATACATACTTAAAAACTGGTATAAATATATGGTCTTTCATGTGTTTCTCACAGTGGGCTTTGTAGTAAAAATCCATGAACGAAAATCAACAAGTGCTCACTTACTTGATTTATATCCACAGGCCATCTCAGACCTCCCTTCAGTGTCATATGCTTCCTTTTTATGAGAGAGGAAATCATTTCTGCTTTGTGTACCAGATGGTTGTGTAAGATAATTATTTGAATATTAAGTTCTTATGTTTAACTGTTGGTGGTAAACAATAAACAGTAAATCTGTTACATTATACTCCAAAGGAATTTGCAAATTACTTGCTATATAGAATAATCGGATCATGAACATATTAGGTTATGTAAAGTCTAGTGTGGATATTTACAAAAAAATGAAGTGGAAGGAGACACTTTGAGCAATTCTGTTACTAGTACACCTGTAGAGCTTTTCACTCCATCAGTCTCTCAGTTCCCTCAGGCCTACTCAGTGCTAAATCTCTACCAGATGTAACTCATAGGTTTTAATGCAGATAATTTTTTTTCAGCATGATATAATGCCTAAAATGCAAGACAAGTATGCTTTTTTGTGTGTTGTAGTTTTTGAGATGAAACCCAGGACATTTTGCATGCTAAATAAGTACTGTACCGGCTGAGCTACAAATATTCTTAGTCCAGTGCTCAGCTAAAAGAATGGTCAGAAGAAAACTGAGAAGGCCTTACTGAAGACTAGTACTGTATTGGACTTGGAGTCATTTAGTCTCAGTAATGTTTCCCTCCTGGTGTTTAGTTCCTAGTCTTTGAATAGGTCTTTGTTGTGCTGGAGTTCTCTTATACCTATACTTGTCTTAAGTATGTTTTCTGGTAATTGGTGTAAATATATGATCTTCTGTTTTGATGAAGACATCTAATCTGTCTTTACCTGTCTTTCCTAAAATAATTTGAAGGCAAAACAAAAATAATAACAGAAAAAGCCTTTATGGTATAAAGATAGGAGTCAATATAATCAAAAGCCAATTGAAAGAAAAAGTTGTTGAGTTTGCTGACTGTCAGATTGGCAGTCATTCCTCCTTTCATCTTCCTTTTTTCTTCATGTGTTCTTTCCTGGTCAGCCTGAGTCAACCACTACTCATTTGTTATTAATTAATAACAAAAAGGTATTCAGGGAGGTATCTGACTGCTGATTCACATATTCTTTGTGAGTGATAGTTAAAATCAGTTTTGTGGTTTACATTATCAATTTATCAGTTCTTAGTCTCCCATGTAAGAAACATGCAAGCAGGCAGAAGTGTTTTTTTTAATGTTTGTTTTTGTTTTTGGTTTGGTTTTGGTTTTTTGAGATAGAGTTTCTATGACAGCCCTGGCTATTCTGGAACTAATGCTGTAGACCAGGCTCAAACTCAGAGATCCATCTGCATCTGCTTCCCAAGTGTCTGTGCTCCCAAGTGTCTGTGCCACTACCGCCCAGCAATAAGTAGAAATTTTAAGATAGTATTTCTATAACTGCTTAGTTGGACAGTATTAGCCAAGTGCAAGCCAGTTAGTGGTAACTTTAGCAGAGGATCTCCTGTCTTTCTTTCATTTTACCTGTGGCCAGTTTCTTTTCACCGCCTAGCTGCTCATCTGTTCATATACTGGGTGTTTGAAGACAGTACAATGAATGACAATGACTTTTTGCCTTCTTATTTTACATTGGACTTTCTCTTACTCCCTCTTGTAGCTAGAGTTTTCCTGCCTTGCCCACACTCAGGACAAATCTTTGTCACCCGCCAGTCCCATAGCTGCTCTGACCCAACCAAGTAAACACAGAGACTTATATTGCTTACAAACTGTATGGCCGTGGCAGGCTTCTTGCTAACTGTTCTTATAGCTTAAATTAATCCATTTCCATAAATCTATACCTTGCCATGTGGCTTGTGGCTTACCGGTGTCTTCACATGCCACTTGTCATGGCGGCGGCGGCAGTGTCTCTCTACCTCAGCCTTCTGCTTCCCAGAATTCTCCTCTCTCCCTGTCCCACCTACTTCCTGCCTGGCCACTGGCCAATCAGTGTTTTATTTATTGACCAATCAGAGCAATTTGACATACAGACCATCTCACAGCACCCTCTCCCCCATTTTTTTTTCTTTATTCTTTTTGGTTTTCCATGACAGGGCCTGGAACTCACTGTAGGGCAGGCTGTCCTTGAACTCAGAGATCCACATCCCTCTGCTTCCTGAGTGCTGGGATTAAAGGCGTGCGCCACCACAGCCTGGCTATTTTTTTCCAATGAAACAAACAAGGTGCAGATATTTGCTAAGAAAAAATTACTGTTAATTTTCTCAGGTGTGCTAGTGGTTTACTATTTCTGTTTTTGGATGTGTGTATTTTAGAGAGGATTGTTTGGAGAGTGGGGATGATCAGGTGAGGCAGACAATGGCTGATTGTTTGCTTCTCAGCAGTCTTTGTTGATCCGTCTCCTGAGGGTACCATGACCATCTTCAGAGTGACCAAAACACTTAACTATTATTTTAATATTTTATATTACTTTAACATCAGTAAGTTATCACACTCCTTGATAATTTTAGTTAATTATAGTCTACTTGTCTTTGGAATTGATGTGTTCTGTATTTCTGTCTTTTCAGGTCTATGCTTGGGGTTGTGGGGCTTGTCTAGGTTGTGGTTCTTCAGAAGCTACTGCTTTGAGACCCAAGCTCATTGAAGAATTGGCTGCCACAAGAATAGTTGATATTTCTATTGGAGATAGTCATTGTTTGTCTCTTTCTCATGGTAAAGTCCTGTTTATTTGTTTGTTTTAGTATTTTAGGTAGCATCTTTATAGCCTAACTTTAAAGTACCAACTTTAAGTCCTCCTGCCTTAGCCTCCTTAGTGCAGGGAATACAAGTGTTCTGAGTCATTTGTTTTCAAAGAATGTTATCAATAAATGTGTTACATTTAAATTTACCTTGTATACCTTTGTCCTATTTTTAGATAATGAAGTTTATGCCTGGGGCAATAACTCCATGGGGCAGTGCGGCCAGGGAAATTCCACAGGTCCTATTACTAAACCAAAGAAAGTGAATGGCTTAGATGGCATAGCTATTCAGCAAATCTCTGCTGGAACATCACATAGTCTAGCATGGACCGCTCTTCCTAGGGATAGGTAAGTGGTATGTTTAAACATTCTTGTGAGGTTCTAAAAAAATATTTTCCTGTATTAATTTTAAGACTATGAATGTTCATTGAGTCAACATTACACAATGTACTTCAAAAGTTGAATAGTTAAATTTAATAGTAGTAATAATGATGATAGTATATTAAAATTAATTTCTAAATAGTACTATATTCTAAATAGTATAAAGATATAGTAGGTATATTTGATCTCATATTTAACAGAATGATACATGCAGATCTCTACAATAAGAATAAGATACATACCACTCAACTGCTGTTTATTTATGATAACACACCATGTGGCGGGTCCAGGTGGCATTGGGAAGTAATATTGGCTTTATCCTAAAATGGCTTTCTTTTGTACAGTTTTACATATGAAAAGTAAACAGGCCATTTGTAGCTCTTTATTGACAAAGTTTTTGTGTAAACTCATGTTTATTTAAAGTCATTTAGATTTGTATCATCATGTAGGAACCATCAATATATTACATTATCAAACAAATATTATTATTTATGTAGGTAATTGTGTTAATATCTTTGCCTATAATAATAGATTATACTAACACCTTAAAAGGGTGAAGGATTTGCTTTGGTTTACATGTATCAGTCCATGCTCTTTTGGCTTCATTGCCTTGGGCCTGAAGTTAGTCAGAACATAGCCACCTTCTTTCAATATTGGATTCACTAGCTTGGACCAAGCCTTCAACATATGGGTCTTTGGTCAGAACATTTCATATGCAGCCCTACAAGAATATAACAGTAGTGTTAATAAATTTAGAAATAAATTTAATGTGATTTTTAAGATTAATATACACACACACACACTATTTAAAGTATATATAATTTCTAGTATTGACTCTGCTATCATAGAAATGACATTTAGATCCCTTTTTGTGTGCATATTGAGGTTACATATATTTCAAAAGTAAGAAGCTGTATTTAAGATACTTTTCTTAATTTAATTGTTTTCTGATTTTTGAATTCTCTGTCTTTAGAGAATGATTTAAAAGTTAAGTGTCAAACTGAGGAGATGGCTGAGTTAGTAAAACTTTTGCCTTGCAAGCATGAGGACCTGAGTTCAGATCCCCAGCCCCCTGTAAAAGCCAGGTCCTCCAGTGTATGTCTTTAATCTTGGTGCTTCAGTTGTGGTGGCGTGCATACGTGGATCTCTAGAATTCACTGCCTGGCCTGTTTAGCCAAATTATTGAGCTCTGGGTTCAGTGAAAGACCTTGTCTCCAAAACAAAGTGGAGAGTGACTGAGGAAGCTACTGGACATTGACCTGTGCCCTCCGCACACATGTAAACCCATATCCCCACATCCACATGCACACGCACACGCACACGCGAAACAAGTATATCACATACACACAGTTAAATGTCTCCATATCTAGAAGAAATTAACTAAGATCAAACTAGGCTTTATTGGTTTAAAACAGTTTTTTAGTTTCATTGCTCTTTGTCTGGTTGGTTTTATTTGTAAAACAAAATAAATTACTCCAAAATAACAAAAAGAAATAAAAAACAAAACACCCAAATCCAGTGGCTATACTTTTAAATCCCTACCCCTCATGTCTTGTTTTTTGTTTGTGATCATGTATGAAAGTTTCATTATAAGATTGTTGGATGCTTTTCTTATGCTTCCTTCTAGACAAGTTGTTGCATGGCACCGGCCTTATTGTGTAGATCTTGAGGAGAGTACCTTCTCACATCTTCGTTCCTTTCTTGAGAGATACTGTGATAAAATAAACAGTGAGATTCCACCACTGCCTTTCCCTTCATCAAGGTATGTTGTCGATATGTAGCATGCATATATATTAATTACTCTTTTTAAATTTTGACTTAATTCTTTTTGTTTTTCTTGAAATTACATGAGTCTTCTTTATAAGGTAGAAAAGAGCTAAACTTTTATTAGTAACTTCTTAGTTTCATAAAGGATGTTTTAAAAATTACCATTGGACATCACTTGACAAAAAATGTTACTCAAACTGGATATTACATCTACTTTTTTGCTTCAGAATTCACAACAGCTTGTTTTGTTTCAGGGAACACCATAATTTTCTTAAGCTGTGCCTGAAGTTGCTTTCAAATCACCTAGCTCTGGCCCTTGCGGGAGGGGTAGCTACCAGTATTCTTGGGAGACAGGCAGGTCCACTTCGAAATTTACTCTTCAGGCTGATGGACTCTACCGTTCCAGATGAAATCCAAGAGGTAAGAGAATAGAATCTGTGGCCTGAAGCCTTAGCTAGATGATATATTCAGCTGTACTAGATATCTTCAATTGCAGGGTTTCCCTCTGTAGCTCTGGCTGTCCTGGAACCCACTCTGTAGACCAGGCTGGCCTTGTACTCACAGAGAATTGCCTCCTTTGGCCTTCTGAGTTCTGGGATTAATGGCCATCACACCCAGCAGATGTTCTTAAACCCTCTAAACTAAAGAAAGACTAACATATTTTCAGTTTTCACATGACACTTTTAGGCTTGTATAATTCCAACAGTTAGTGCATTCACTTTTTGTATGTTGCTATTAAAAAAGAGATCTGGGCTGATCAATGCACTTTTTCCTTCCTTCCTTCCTTCCTTCCTTCCTTCCTTCCTTCCTTCCTTCCTTTTTTTCTTTTTTATTAGGTGGTAATTGAAACACTCTCAGTAGGAGCAACCATGCTGTTACCTCCATTACGAGAACGGATGGAGTTACTTCATTCTCTTTTACCCCAAGGACCTGATAGATGGGAAAGCTTATCCAAAGGACAGGTAAAGCCTTTGCTTTTGATAAACTAGTCATATCACAGGAAATTGGACTGATAGGAGGATAAAGCAAATGAACTGCTGTATGTTCACAAAGTAGTGCTTGATAGTTCTGTTGTATCCTGATTATTTGATATTGTATGTTGGAAGAATTATTAGATGTCTACTAACCTGAAATGATGCATATGATGATTTACTAAATTACTTGGGGTCAAGTTTCTTAGAGTCATAATTCATTTTTCTGGTGTTGATTATGGTGTCAAACCAGATACCGTTGGTTTATTGTAAGTGCTAAGTTGAAATCAATCTAATGTTATTGTTGTTAGTCCCATGCTTAGAGTTTCTTATCTGACAAGGAAAAGGTCATCATTGGCAAAAAGCATTTGAGGCATGAGTATGCATATTTTTAATTTTTATTATTTTAAGTACATGGAAATAAATGTTTTCTGAGCTAAGTAAAAGAGTCAGTTGTAGAGATAAAGATTTGAGGGGAAACATGGTGCTTACTGGCAATATAATGTCCACAGATGCTTTCCAGTAAATATTTTGCATTAGTTTAGATTACAAGTGATTTCTTTTAAACATTAGAATAAGCAGTTGTCACCAGTAATTTTGTTGAATAACATGAATATAATTTATCTATTGGCATTTCTTATATCTATCTACTTACAATGCTTACATTATTATGCACATTATTCTATTTTAGCTTGGAATTTTAGCTATTTATCATAAAGGATAAGATTAGAAACCTGTAAGTTACATTTTCCCAAATGATATTAATTGAATAGCTTTTCCTACAATTATGTACTTCTTGAAGGTTTTTTAGCAAGCTACTAAATGGATTAGCATTGTTAGTATAGTTTTTTCCTTGTGTCCTTCTTTTTCTCTCATAATGCATGTTATGCTAATTATATGTTTCTTTTTCATTGTTTTTTAGAGAATGCAGCTGGATATAATTTTGACAAGTTTGCAAGATCATACCCACGTAGCCTCCCTTCTTGGCTATAGCTCACCTTCTGATGCTGCTGACCTTTCGACTGTGTGCATGGGCTATGGAAACCTGTCAGATCAGCCTTATGGTCCTCAGACTTGCCATCCAGACACTCATCTGGCTGAAATTTTAATGAAGACCCTCTTAAGAAATTTAGGGTTTTATACGGTACCTTGCTTTTTCACTATATTAAGAAAAGAATAAAGGGGTAAGGATCTTTTTAGGTAAAAGTATTTTAACATTTAAACAATGTAAATTAAATTTTAGAGTCCCTTCACCAACGAGAGAAACATGTCAGATCTGAAATATTGTGGTGGCCAAGTAACATGTAACTTAAAATTACAAAAATACTTATGTTAGAATCTTATCAGGTGTTTCTCATATAATAAAGAATAAACAAATAAAAACAGTTTTCTAAAACATATTGGAAATACAGTCTTCATTATGTGTCATTTTAGGATCAAGCATTTGGAGAGCTAGAAAAGAACAGTGATAAATACCTTCTTGGAACATCACCATCTGAGAACAGTCAGCCTGCTCATCTCCATGAACTGCTGTGTTCACTGCAGAAACAACTGCTGGCTTTTTGTCACATTAATAACATTACTGAGGTATGCAATTCTTTACTTTTCATGGTACTCTGCTAGGAACCTACAACTCAGATATTTGGGGATGCCATATGATTTTTGTACTTTGGATCTTTTAGAGTGGTAATTTAGGGATTTTCTTCTCCTCAGAACTCAAGCAGTGTGGCATTGCTTCATAAACATCTTCAGCTCTTGCTGCCTCATGCTACAGATATTTATTCACGTTCTGCAAATTTACTTAAAGAAAGTCCTTGGAATGGCAGTGTTGGAGAAAAGTTAAGAGGTGAGTTTGGTGTTGAATTTCACATTTAACCAGTGGTTATAAAGCAAGAGTCATTGAACTTTTCCAAAACCTCAAGAGTGCCTAACACCACTAAGTAGAAGAGAAATGACCTGAGTTTCCTTTGTATGGTTTTGTTTCCTTTCATCCTGGTTTAGGGGTGCTGTAACACTGATCCTAAAGGATTCTAACTGTCTCAACAGATCTAGTTTAAAGGCATTGGATGATACAAACTCAAACAGTTCATTTATGATGTGAAGTATGGTTTTTATCTACTGCATCTTTTGGCAGTATCCCTCATCCTCCCCCTCCCTCCCTTCCTTCTTTTCAAGACAGTGGCTATTGCTTTAGAATATGCTGTTCTCAAATTCTACTTTCTGTCTCAGACTTCCAAAGGCTGGGGTTACCACCACACCCTGGCCAATTTCCTACTTTTTTTTTTCTTTCTTCTTGGGTTTTCAGGACAGCATTTCTCTGTGTACTCCTTACTGTCTGGAACTCACTATGTAGACCAGGCTGGCCTCGAACTCATAGAGATCTGCCTACCTCCTGAGTGCTGGGATTAAAGGCTTGTGCCACCTCCACCCAGTTGTGATTTCCTTCTTGAAGTGCTTTCTTCCATGGTCTTTTCTCTGTGTAGCACATTCTTATTTTTTCTCCTCCGTCTCTGATCAATGTTTTTCTGGGACTTCATAAAGGATTTGCCCCCTCTTCCTTTGGATATGCCCTTCCATGTTGGGATCCTTTAAATTTTGCTTTTAATCCTCGTCTCTTTCTGAATAGCCTCATCTAGACCAAGTATCTTTAATCACTATGCAGGTGTTCCTATGTCTGCACCTAGCTGAGGACTTTCCTGAGCACCAGAGCATTGTTGCCTACTGAGTATTTTCTAGGTTGTTGATCTCTGAAGTTTTTCTCCTAAGAAAGAAATCAGCTGAGAACCCAAGACTGTTATTAGTCATTGTGGTTTGGCTGTTCTGTATGAAGTGTAAAGTTACTGTTCACGAAAACTGGGCTCACTTGTGAATGTTCCTCCTGGCCCTGAGTGCAGGGAAATATTAGAATAGATTTGACTGAAAAGTGATGCTCATTATGAAAAGTCAGCTATTTTATGATGATCTTAATTTTAAAAATTATTTTAGATTAGAAAAATATAAAAACTTTGCTTACTAGAATGTTAACATCACAGGAAATTAGGAACTTTTGCCTGCTTTGGTCATGGCTGTGTCTCCACCTAGAATAGTACCTAGTCTGTTGTGGGTACTCTAAATGTTTGAATAAATTTAAAAGTGAGGATCAATTAATGGATGTGGGATTATAATGTATCTTTTGTTTGTTTGTTTGTTTTTCAAGACAGAGTTTCTCTGTGTAGCTTTACACCTTTCCTGGATCTCGCTCTCTAGACCAGGCTGGCCTCGAACTCACAGAGATCCGCCTGGCTCTGCCTCCCGAGTGCTGGGATTAAAGGCGCGCGCCACCACCACCCGGCAGGATTATAATGTATCTTAAGAAAGCATTTTGTGTGTTTCGAGTTTGTTAGCATGCAAGATAAGTTTACAAAGAGTCTGTTGGTATTTTCTTATAGTAAATACTAATGTGACATCAGCTATGAGGTAGGTATTGAACAAAGAGTTATTGAATTAGTCTGCTTTCCTTCCAAACTGAAGAAGTATTTCGGTTTTTATGTTTTGAAGTTTATTTGAGGTCACTGATTTGCACTGCATTTTTCCCTTCACAGATGTGATCTATGTGTCAGCTGCAGGCAGTATGCTCTGCCAGATTGTTAACTCCCTTCTGTTACTCCCGGTATCAGTGGCTCGTCCTTTACTGAGCCACCTTCTCGATCTCTTGCCACCTCTTGATTGCCTTAATAGACTCCTGCCAGCAGCTGCTCTTTTAGAAGACCAAGAATTACAGTGGCCTCTTCATGGTAAGTATGTAAAAAGTTAATTAGTGCTCACGAGAAAGGTTATTCTTCTTGCATATCGCAAACAAAGTCTTGCCTATGTGGGCATTTCATGTGATCAAAAAGATACAATTATCTTCCAGGAGTGAAGGGTCGGAAATGGGCAACTGATGTTGCACTAGCCAAGAAAGGTGCTTATGGGCATCACAAAAAGTGTCTTCATGGTCAGTGATTCTCAAGCTTCTTGTACTACAAAGTTTGACATGATTGAAATTAAGATGTGTCTTAACAATAGATAGCAAAACTGTGTCATAATTTAGCCAGCATTTCTTTCTTCCTTTGAGGTATTTGTAATGATACATTTATAATTAGTGAATCATATTTGATGTCATTTTATGTCATAAATGTGAGAGATTTTAATGTTAAATATTTATTTGATAGCAAATTTCTTATTTTGGTTGGTTATGTAAGCAACTGGCTGAATTTTAAAATAGAAATTGAGAAAATATCTTTTTAGTGCATTTGATTTTAGACATGGTATTCTAATTCACTCTTGAATTATACAATTATACAACAATTTTAGATAGTTGACAATAGCTTGTGTTTGCAAGAGTATCATTGTTACCTATTGTAGTCTGTTTTAAGGCTGTCAAAGAACTTCACCACTAGAACTTAAAGACAATTCACTTCACGTTAGTGAATTGTCATCTCCTTGCCCCTTACATTGGAAAGAGTCATGGACTGAGGCATGTAAAGCTCTGGCTTTTAGTCTCTGCTAGTAACTTCTTGTGTAACCTTGAGAGAGCCACTCGTCAATGCTTAGAGTCTTGTTTTTGTTTTTGTTTCCTGGACTTTGACAGGAAAACATTGAAACCCTTTTTGCTGTAGCAGTGGTCAATTCCGTTGACCACTGAATTGAAATGGTCAAAGTACCAAACTCATGACCATATTAGAATAGTGATTCAACTTGGTGTAGACAGTTTCATGGTTATTATTCTTGCTTTTCTAAAGTGTCTTAGAACTTTTTTGTGTCAGGTGAGTTGAGAGTCCTTCTGTTTGTATTTCTTTGGATACACAACTGATTATTTTTTACAAGTTTCCCTTTCTCACGCTGTTCTTGTCTCGTCTCATTTGCAAAACTTATTTTAACCATATAGTATGAAGTTGGATTCTTCACTTTTTCCCCTGTTTTCTGAAGTAATTTCTAAGGACAAAAATTTTCTTAAAAGTGCTAGAGGAATTTATCTATAAAACTGTCTGGGCCGGGCAGTAGTGGCACACATCTTTAATCCCAGCACTCAAGAGGCAGAGCCAGAGCCAGGTGGATCTCTGAGTTCGAGGCCAGCCTGGTCTACAGAGCGAGATCCAGGACAAGCACCAAAACTACATAGAGAAACTCTGTCTCGAAAAAAAATAAAAAAACAAAACAAGTATCTGGCCCTTGTGGTTTATATTTTTATTTATTTATTTTATTGTGTATGTGCATGGATTGTGGAAATTTTTGGTTTTTTTCTAATCCATTTTAGAAATTGTTATTTTTCCAGGCTTTCAATTTTTTTGATGTAAAATTGTGTTCATTTATGGGTTGAAAAAATGTCCTATGGGTGCATTGCTACATATCTTTTTTACTTCTATTTTTAAAATTTACGGAGTCTGTTTTTTCTTATTTAATTTGTGTGTGTGTGTGTGTGTGTGTGTGTGTGTGTATGCACACACATATGAAGAATTTTCAGAAACAAGTGTACACTAAGAAAGCCCAAGTCTGGATCTTAGTATAAGACAGTTCTGAGTTCAAGCCAGAAAATCATTAAATGATACTGTCATTTTAATTGGTGAATTCTTGTTTGGTTTTGGAGAAAAAGTCCCAAAGACTGTCTAAAGATGGTAAAATTTGATCTAGATTGTATAATAGAACCCATTGAGATAAGTTTGAATGTGCTATTTAGTATTTATCTTAAAATTAGTAACTTTTTAAGTGAAAAATTATTTGCTAGATTAACATGTCTGAGTAAAATTTAAATTAGTCTAATATACCAGGTAATTTGTATTTTAAAAAGCTATATATTTTCCTTGAAAAATTATTTTATTCAATATCGTATTGTAGTATAATAGGTTAGAGACCATGAGAAAGCTTTTAAAATTTAAAAGTAACAGATAAAGACACAATTTCTATTGATTTTCTCTTCAGGAGGACCAGAAGTAATTGACCCTGCTGGTGTGCCATTACCTCAGCCAGCTCAGTCTTGGGTGTGGCTTGTGGATCTGGAAAGAACTATTGCTCTTCTCATTGGGCGATGTCTTGGTGGCATGCTTCAGGGCTCCCCTGTATCTCCAGAGGAACAGGATACTGCATATTGGATGAAAACACCACTTTTCAGTGACGGTGTGGAAATGGACACTCCTCAGTTGGGTAATACGCTTCTCTGAAGCATGTGAAACATGTACTTCTTTGTGCTTCCTTTGAGATCTCTTACCTAAGTGTTGAATACAGAACTCAGGCATTTTCCACATTAGTAATAAAGAGGATTTAAACTTGTACAGTTCTCAGAAAAAGTCAAATTCTGCAACATGGTGTAGGGCAGTGGTTCTCAACCTGTGAACTGAGACCTCATTAGAGGTCGAATGATCTTTTTACAGGGTCTCCTTAAACCATCAGAAAACACAGATATTTACATCACGATTCATAACAGTAGCAAAATTACAGTTATGAAGTAGCAACAAAAATATTTTTTTGTTGGGGGTCACCACACCATGAGGAACCACTGATATAGGGAAATGTGGGTCTAGAGCAGTGGTTCTCAACCTCCCTAATGCCATGACTCTTTAATTACAGTTCCTCATGTTATGAATTGTAATGTAAAAATTGACATGCAACCCCAAGGGGTTGTGACCCACAGGTTGAGAGCCACTGGTCTAGAGCCAGTTATGGTGGCTCGCTCCTATAATCCGTGCACTTGAGAGGCTGTTTCAGAAGAATTGCTTCATGATCTAATTAAGGTACACGATAACTTGAGGCTGGGTTGAGCTACAATGGGAGCCCTGTATCTCAAAAAAAGCCAAAGATGCAGACCTTGTCCCATTCTGTTGTACTTTTCACTCATTTTGATCAAGTTATGGAAAAAATACTTGATTATGTTCTGAAGCTTGGGGTTACAAAACTGCTTCCCCAAATGGAATGCACTGTAGAGTACCTATCAGGACAGAGTAGTGTTTGGTTTTCAGACACTCTGTTAGTCAGGGTTACTATGGGTGTGATGAAATACCATGACTAAAAGCAACTTGGATAGGAAAGGGTTTATTTGTCTTATACTTCCACATCACACTGTTCATCATCAAAGAACAGGAACTCAAAGAGAGCAGGAACCTGGAGGCAGGAAAAATGCTGCTTACTGGCTTGCTCCCCATGGCTTGCTCAGCCTGCTTTCTTACAGAAACCAGGACCACTAACTCAGGGATCGACCCACCCACAATAGACTGGGCCCTACCATATCAATCACTAATTAAGAAAATACCCCACAGGCTTGCCTAGTCTTATGAAGGCATTTTCTCAGTTGAGGTTCCCTCTTCTCAGATGACTACAGTTTGTGTCAAGTTGACATAAACTAACCAGCACAGCCACCACCCATAGGTGTGAATGGCAGGTTTTATTCCTCCCTTTGTAGTATCTTTGGGATTTCCTTTCCTTCCATATGTCTCATTTCTCTACTTTGTTGGCTCTTAGATCAAAAAGGATTTATTCAGTGTCCTAATATATGGTCTAATAGTTTTATCTAGGATTGGTATTTTAATCTCTGGGCCTCTTAATTTTGATTCTATGAAATATTGAGTAGGATTAGCTAGCCTATATTAAACCTAATTTTTATTATTTTTCTAGTTAGAAAAAGAGACTCAGATATATACAAGGTAAAGTAATAGAGAGAGGAAGAGAGGAAATGGGAGGGAGGGAGCCCACAAGGTAGAGAAGGGGGTGGGATAGACAGGGAGAAAGGGAAGGTGGAAAGAAAAGAAACCAAGGCCAAAAAGGGAAAGTTTTGCTTTGGGCATGGAAATGTGGATAGTTAGGTCTTTTTCAAATAAACACATGTACCCCTCATTTTACTTCTGAACTAGAAAGTGATTTTGACTATGGCTAATGAAAGCTAGACTGATACATATGAAGTAAAGAAAGTTAAATTGTGGAGGTCTCCAGGGATATTTAGCAGGATAAGGTTCCAGTGCTTCTAGCACTCATGCCTAAGGCAGTCCCCAGTAATCTCCTGAGTAAAAAAGGTGTCTGTTGATCCATATGTCCCTTTTAATGGGACTTATGTATGAATAAAATAAACTTCAGTTTTAATATTATTTTTTAGTTTTTAAGAATTAAAATTGTGTAATTTGTATCAAGAAAAGGTATTTGCTTATATGAAATTGTAAATATGTAATATTTCTATTATGGATTAAATTGACTTTTGGTAATTTTTGAAACCCTGGCCATCATTTAGAACATTGATTAAAAAAAAAAAGTGAAGTGAGCCAGCTGTAGGTGTGTACATTCTTGAAATTACTGTACTTGGGAAACAAAGGTAAGAGGATCCTGATTCCAGGGCTAGACAGAATAGCAACACCCTTGTTTACAAAAAACTAATAATGATTCTGAATGCTAAAGCTCCTACTGAAGAATTGGGAATTACCTGTGTGAATGTGATTATTGATTCTCAAAGACGATTCTATGTATTATTGGATATGACAGTCTTCAAGGTTGTGCTTCAAGTGTAGGATATTCTGCATTCCTGGCCTCTTTTGCCAAATGTCTATTTTTTTCTAGAAGGAATTAGGTACTACTGCCTCCAACTGAACAAATTAGAGGCTTCACATTAGTAGTATCTAGTTTAAATTAGCTCCAAGTACACACTATCATATGTATTGAGTAAGTAAGATTTGATTTGCAGTTACAAAATTTATAGTTTAAAATTGGAAATTTAGCCAGGTGGTGGTGGCTAAATTTAACCCTAGCACACAGGAGGCAAAGGCATTGGAATCTCTTGAGTTTGAGGCCAGCCTGGTCTAACAGAGTGAGTTCCAATACAGCCATCTCTGCACAGAGAAACTCTGTCTCAACCCCCTCTCCCCTCAAAGAAAAAAGGAGGGGAACTTGGGAACTGATGGCTCAGGGTGTGAAGTGTTTGCTGCCAGGGCTGACAGCTGGAGTTCATCCCCAGGACCTACGTGGTAGAAGGAGAAGTGACTCTTGCAAGTTGTCTCCTACTGTCATATATGCTGTGGCACAGAGAGGGATGGAGGAGGGAGGGAGAAAGAGAAATGAATAAATAGAATTATTAAAATTAAAATTCTTTTTAATAGATAAATGTATGAGCTGCCTACTAGAAGTAGCTCTTTCAGGAAATGAAGAGCAGAAGCCTTTTGATTACAAATTGCGGCCTGAAATTGCTGTCTATGTAGACTTGGCATTGGGTTGTTCTAAAGAGCCTGCCAGAAGCCTTTGGATCAGCATGCAGGATTATGCTGTTAGTAAAGGTAAGAAAAAGAGAAGGAAAGGTAAATGTCTAGCTAATTTGCAGTGCTAACTAGTTCATGTGTAAGTGACATTTTAAAATATTTGTTTTTCTCTTTGTGGAAAATACACCTGATTGTTTGTTGTACCCACATATATCTCATTTAAAGAAACTTGATTGTATTAAAGTTGGACTTGTGTCAAAAATCATTTTAAAAAAGTATTCTATGAAACATTAAATCAGAGAATATATATTTAGATGCTGGGTTATAGGCTTACTGAATATTTATCTATAATTTTTTTTTGTATATTCAGAGGGCTAATAATGCCCATTTGAGATATACTGTTAAATGTAGTAGTAAGTAGTATGCAAATATATGGTGACATTTCCATTTCTAATATGTTTTTAATCAGTAGAATTAATTTTATGTGTAAATTTCAAACAATGTCCTTGATTCATTCTTAGCTTCCATGCTTAGTAATGACTCATATTAGAGCTGGGCATGCTGTGTATACCGGTAAGCCCTGCACTCTGGATGTGAAGCAGGTGATCAGTTTAAAGTCAGCATCCACTATGTAGTAAGTTTGAGGATAATCTGGATTATATCTCAAAATAAGAACCCCAATGAACCCAGTCATCCATGTTGTTGAGTCATGTCTGTAGTCTCTGTTTTTTCCAATCTGCTAAATATTCTCTATTTTAAGAGTATATACTCTATCTAGTATAATATACTCTGTGCTCTGCCAACGTAGAATTAAAGAATGGGAGAAAAAACACCTGGCAAGTTTTCTTTATTTAATACTGTGATTTGAGTTTTCATTTAAATATATTCATTTCTGTGCAGATGTTTTAAATTACCCAGATGTACTTTTACTCTAACAAGATCTACATTTATGGTTTAAAATTATCACATACATAGTTTTATATGTGTGTATACACGAGTGAATAGTTTATTCAATTTGGGGCTGCTTAATGGAAAGTGTTCAAATCCAGACCTTTGATTCCAGCTCCCTTCCCACAAAATTTCTGTGGTCTTCCATTCTCAGCTTACTCCAGCTAATAAATTCAACTTGACTTCAAATCTTGGCAACACTTTCAGAATTTGTATGGACTCTGAAAGCTTCACAAGACTTGCATTGCTCTTGCCCTGATGTCGCCATCATTGCTTACTTCAGTAATGACTTCTGCTCCTTCTGTCTGTATAGTCAGTTCTCTACCCAAGAGGTGGAGCTTTTAAAATATAGGTCAGGTTTTATCATTTCTCTGAAGTCAGACCCAGAGGGTTTGTACTGGTTTGCAAGACCAGTGTCATTATCTCATCCCCCACTAGCTCTCCAACGGCTTCTCCTTCTACTCTTGTACATGTACCGTTTGCTCCAGCAGCAGTTCTGACCTCCTGAACTCTCAAGTTGTGTTCTTAGCACATGGTGATCCTAATGTTATACTGTGTCCACGAGGTTTCTTCCCTTGCTTCACTTAGATCTCTGCTCAAATCAGAAAGCCCTTCAGAGCACCCTGTATGAAATAGTAATTATACAGCACAGTTCCCCAGTTCTTGCCTTGCTTTGTTTCTCTTCTTAGCCCTTGCCTGTCAGATTCACTTACTGTCTTTTTATCTCCATGCGCTACACCAAGATTCAGATTCCATGAGAGCAGAGTTGTGGTTTGTTCAAAACTGTACCCACAGCACCTGAAACAGTATGTGTATTTGTCAAATAGTTGTTCAGAAAGTTGGTAAAATTCAGGTGTTAGGGAACTAAAGTTATTAATATTATCTTGGAACTGTTTTCTGCGTCCTTTTAAATGTTTGTATCATTTTTACTTTCAGATTGGGACAGTGCAACTTTAAGTAACGAGTCCCTCTTGGACACTGTGTCTAGATTTGTTCTTGCAGCACTTCTCAAACACACAAACTTACTTAGTCAAGCATGTGGAGAAAGCCGGCAAGTAACTTAAAAACTATCCTCAGACAAATATTTGCTCTCATGATGTTAGAAATTAGGTAACTTTTCTATTTTGGTTCTTTATTTAGATACCAACCTGGTAAAAGCTTATCAGAAGTGTACCGTTGTGTATACAAAGTTCGAAGTCGTTTACTTGCTTGCAAGAACCTTGAACTTATTCAAACCAGGTCATCATCACGAGACAGATGGGTAAAGTTGGAAATCAATTAATTTCTATGTTTTCCTGCAAGCTTGTCAGAGGTAGCCCCACACTGGTACAGATGTTCAAAACATGCTAGCATGTTTTCTAGTGGGAAATGATGGAAGATAAAGAGTGGGGTTTGCCTCTTTTTTATCAAATGTGTTGAGGCTAAGTAATAACTTTGTCTGCATAGATGTTAGTGACAAACTGGCTTGTCCATATCATAGGCAATCTTCTTTTTTTAAAAAATTAAGCTACACTGGAATTTCCTTGTTTAACATAGGATGCCAGAAATTATCAGGGATGTTAACAGATACTTCAGATTGATTAAAAATAAATGCAAGAATCATACAAGAACTGGAAAGGGCTAGGTAGTGGTGGCACATGCCTTTAATCCCAGCACTTGGGAGGCAGAGGCAGGTGGAGCTCTGTGAGTTCAAGGCCAGCCTGGTCTACAGAGCAAGATCTAGGACAGCCAGGGCTACACAGAGAAACCCTGTCTTGAAAAACAAAAACAAACCAAAACAAAACAAAACAAAAAAAGAACTGGGAAGTTTTAAAAGAACTGGAGATTATTAAAAAAATACTCAGTGTAGAAAAAGGTAAAAAGGGACAAAATTAAAAGATAAAAAAAAATCAGTCTTCCTGTAATTAGAATTGTGCACTCTGAAAGTGAAGATTGAGACCATTGATTGAGGATGGTCCAGAAATAATTCTGACAACAAATAGATGATTTTGAAAGGGCCTGGTATTCTGGGAACACAACCCTTTAGTTACAAGAACAAGCCTGAGAGCATCCTCTTCACAGTGCTTACTTTAAGGCATAACTTTGCTTTTTGTGATTTAGTTATTAAGCATAAACAGAGAAAACTTCAGCATGCACTGGCTTAGTATTTGTGGATGTGAATATTTGAGAGTGACCTTACAAGTCTATAAGAAATATTAGTTTGCATTTTTTGAGGCTCCAACTTGAAACTCATATATTATGAAAGTAAATATGTGATATATGGGCCTCACTGCTAAGTATCCCTAGATTGTGAAATTTCTAAGTAATTTATTGGTCATGAATCACAAATATTTGTTATGATTCTAGTTGGAAGTTTTCGTTTGTACTTTGTATTAAAATTTATGAGATGAATTATTTAGTTACGATATTTGTGACTCTCCAAGTATCTGTTGTCAGGTCTCTTTCTGTCTAGATAACTGTTGGATAGCATGACCACCATGGGAAACTAAGTTAACATTGTTCTTACTAGATTTTGAACTTTGGGTTTTTTTTGGGGGAGGGAGGGCAAAGTTAAAGTGTAAAAGAATGCTGTCTTAAATTTAGAATTATTGGTAAACTGGGATTATAGTTATATGGTAGAGTGATTATCAAACATGTAAGGCTTTGGATTTGACTCCTAGCACTGCTCCCCCAGGCATTATTTTTTACAGAGTAATAGCATAGAGTACTTGAAGGGAACGGTAGAATCAAATAATTACCTTTTGCTGGATATAATGGCACACATCTTTAATCCCAGCACTTGGAAGGCAGGGGCAAGTGGTTCTCTGAGTTAAAAACCAGCCTGGCGTATCTAGTGAGTTCTGGGACAGCCAGGGTTAAACAGAGAGACCTGCCTCAAACAAAAAACAAACAATAATAAAAACCTCAAAACCAAGTAAGAAAAGTCACCTTTTGTGCTTGTGTCATGTTGTAACTTACATTGCAGCTCTGTAGTTTGTAGCCAGACAGCAGAATGAATGATTTAAAGCATGGCATTTAAATGAAAATACCAAGAAAGAAAGAACATATACCTATCTGTGTATATATTTGTGTGCATATAGTCTGTATAATCTTTGAAATTTACCAGTGCCATTTGTAAAGTTTATGGGTTATTATATCAGCAGTATTTTCTAAGGTATAAATTAAGATTTTGCCAGGCGGTGGTGGTGCACACCTTTAATCCCAGCACTTGAGAGGCAGAGGCAGAGGCAGGCGGATCTCTGTGAGTTCAAGGCCAGCATTGTCAACAGAGCGAGTTCCAGGACAGCCAGAGCTACAGAGAAACCCTGTCTTGGGGAGGAATAAAAAGGTTTTATGAGCCGGGTTGTGGTAGTGCACGCCTTTAACCCCGGCACTTGGGAGGCAGAGGCAGGTGGATCTTTGTGAGTTGCCAGCCTGGTCTACAGAGTGAGTTCCAGGAAAGGCACAACGCTATGCAGAGGAACCCTGTCTCGAAAAACAAAAAACAAAACAAAACAAACAAACAAAAAAAGGTTTTATGAAAACTTTTTAAACCTTTGGAAAAATATATTCAGTGTGGTTTCCTATTATTTCTTTAAGATCTCAGACAACCAAGACTCTGCAGATATTGATCCTCAAGAGCATTCCTTTACCCGGACCATTGATGAAGAAGCTGAAATGGAAGAGCAGGCTGAGAGAGACAGGGAGGATGGGCATCCAGAGCCAGAAGATGAGGAGGAAGAACGGGAACATGAAGTAATGACAGCTGGCAGTAAGTACATCTTTCTTACTTGAGAAGTGAACATCATGACATGCGTTTTCATAGGAAAAGTGAGAAAGACAGAGTGTCTGTAGTGCTTCCAAAAACATTTGACACTGTACAAGGGATCTAAGTCTGCATTAACCGACATTACAGGGACTTTTGAAATTAGGATAGTGCCACTCCGAGGCTTTTGTTCTGGGTTGAAAATGCCCCAAAGAAATCGTCTCAGTTTCTGTTCTACTCAGTTCTCTATGCATGAAATGACATCTAAGAGGCTTTAAATAAAGTTACTCAAAATAGTCCTCTGGAGGTTACCCTGTTGTTCATTGAACTGTCAGACCTCTATGTGGTGAGGGAACGAGCCCCTTATATTCCAATTAGGAGGTTCAAATTGTATTCCATGTGTAAAGCTTTTAAAATTGCAAATTTTCAATTGTATTTATTTTAGTAAATATAAGAGATAAGAGCAGTATAGAACAGTAATATGGAAATAACTTGGGTGGGTGAATGAAACTTTTTATACTTTATATTCCAAGCCTCCAGATAATTCTTAAAAGATAGTTATTTATATGTTATAGTTATAGTTATTTATATTAAAGAGAATTACTAATACCTTAAATGATTTGGCTATTTTATATTAACAGCATATTCAGTTTGTAGCCTGCAGCCTCATGACCAGCTCTACATTTATTTTTGACATTGTTTGTATATGCATTCATCTCATAAGGAGGTGGCACTAGGGGGTTGAACTTAGGCTCTCACACATTAGGCAAGCACTGTACCATTGACCTGTTTCCCCTAGTTTTATTATTGTTTTATTTATATTCTGTGTACTTCTGAAAATTATTTTCGGATCTCTCAAAAGAAAACTAAAAACAATTTAAACCAAAAAGAAAAGATAAGGTGCAATAAAGGAATTCTCAGATAGGGAGCGTGACTAGTAGAATTTTGCTAGCTAAACTGAGAGAACTTCCATAGTTAAATTTAAAAATTAGTTCAGAAATTCCTCGAAAAAAAGATCAGAGAGGACAGCATACTAACAAAGTATAGCTTTCCATTACAGGAAAAGAAAGCATAATAGTCCTTTGGGGAATGGTAATGTATAAACTAGCTATAACCTGTGAACACCTATGATGCTCTAGGCACTGGGCCCGGGGTTTGAAATAGAGTAATTCATAATTCTCACAATAGTCTTAAAGTTCTAATAATGTGCCGTTGTAAAGATAGGTGAATTAAGGGTTAAGGAGGCAGAATTATGTACCTAAAGCCACAGTTAATAATAGCTCAAATTAGAACCAGGTCTGCTGAAAATTCAGTATCTGTTATATGGCTTACATACTTCCCAGCTCTGAACACTGAAAGTTTATTGCTTTGATTTTACTAAAGGAACATTTTACAGCATGATGAAAAATATCATTAATTTTCTAAATGTGAAGGTCCAATTTTAGAATTGTGAGTTTAGAGGACAACATGGCTTAGTGGATAAAGGCCATTCTGCCAACTCTGATGGCCTGAGTTTGATCCCTTAGAATCCACACACAATGGAAGGAATGAACCAACCCCTGCCAGAGGCTTCTGACCTTCACATATGTGTGCCTCCCCAACAAATAAATAAAATAAATGTAACAAAATAAAGTTGTACAAACTTTTAAATAGTAACTTCCTGGTGAATCTAATGTTTTACCAACCTTTTTGCCTGAAGTTCCCATTGAACTTCCTTAGCTCCAAATTTGAGCAAAAAATTTTTTAGCTATTGCAAAAAATCTACTATTGTGACAGCAGCCCCAGAAACTTGCTGACTCAATAGCATTTTATACTTATGAACAACATGGGCTGTGTTAAATGGACCTTCAGATAATGGTATATGACTGTGGAGACAATCTTGCACATCATAAACAGATTCTGTTTCAGCAAAGATTTTTGGTGGCTACTTCTCTTTAATGTGTAAGATATGACCAACTGTGGTTGTTAGAAATTACATAAACTTGGGAAGGTAGGAAGAGTCTTTTCATTACACATAAGCTGAAATCTACTATTTTCCTTATAACCTGACATTTTTTTTTTCATACAAATGTAATGAATATTTCAGAAATAACAAGTTTCTTGTTTTTTGAAACTTAACCTAGAGCAGTGGTTCTCAACCTGTGGGTCACAATCCCTTTGAGGGGGTGGGTTAAATGACTCTTTCCCAGGGACTGCATATCAGATATTTACATTATGATTCATGACTAGAGCAAAATTGCAGTTACGAAGTAGCAACAAAAATAATTTTATGGTTGGGGGTCACCACAACATGAGGAACTATTTAAAAGGGTTGCAGCATTAGGAAGGGTGAGAACCACTGGCCTAGAGCTTTATATTGGTCTTTAGAACCAGCTGGAGGGCTTGTTACATTTTGTTACATTTCTGGGTTCTATTCCTAGAGTTTCTGACTCAAAAAATTTGCATGGGCCTAATACTTGCACTCTTAACAGTTGCACGAATACTGTAGCTGTTGCTCTGGGACTACACTTGGAAAACTGTCCTTACCCACTAGTAAGATTCTCTGTCATCCTTTGGCTCTTATGTGACCTTTCTGACTGGATCTAGGAATCACAGTAATACAAGAGCTGATTAACAGATGCATAGAATTTTCATTAGTTTTATGTGTCAATAAAACTATGTGTCAAGAAAATGAATTCCAAAAGAAATGACTAAAGCTTGATGCTTTTATATTTTGTTAATAAAGAACAATTAATTTAAGAAATGACAAGTGGATAGCTAGAGTAGGAAAACTCCACAGATGTTATAAAGAACTGCAGGAAGCAGGGGAGGTGTGGGAGCTGAGGTTACTTTAGAAAGTTTGCTTGGTCTGATCTAGCAGTCTGGTTGCCAGTTTTTGGTGATTGAGGCTATTTTCTGCTCTTGTGAAGACATCTGTGAAGATGTCTCCTCCCAAAAGAGTCTACTGGACTTGCTTCATAGAGGAAAAGACAGGTCAAATAGTCCTTTCCAAAGTCACACCTAAACAGTCAGTATACCAATTTGACATGTTTTAAGATGTCACAACCCTAACTCTTTCAAGGTAGAACCAGCCAAATCCAAATTCTAACGTATAGAAATATTTTCTATTGCAATTTTTATGAAAAGTATGACATTTTGATATAACTTGGTTACAAACTGTATTTATTGTCTAAAAACTGATTTTTTCCCCATTTCAGTAAGTTTTGGTTCAAACTTTTTGACTGTTTTCATTGTTATTTTTTTGCTCTTCTCTCCCCATGTGTTAAGACCTTGTTTTTGTGTTGCACGTTACAGAAATCTTTCAGTGTTTCCTCTCAGCCCGAGAAGTAGCTCGTAGTCGAGAGCGAGATAGAATGAGCAGTGGGGCAGGGTCTGGGGCCCGAGCTGATGACCCACCTCCCCAGTCTCAGCAGGAGCGAAGGGTCAGCACAGACCTTCCCGAGGGGCAGGATGTGTACACTGCTGCCTGCAACTCTGTGATCCACCGCTGTGCGCTCCTGATATTAGGAGTAAGTCCTGTGATTGATGAGCTTCAGAAGCGAAGGGAAGAAGGGCAGTTGCAGCAGCCTTCTGTGAGTGCCTCTGAAGGCAGTGGACTTATGACCAGGTGGGCCTGACTGGAAACTGAAAATGTTGTTCTCTTTCCTTAGGTATTTCTTGCAATGAGTTTCTGTTCTGAAATGTCAAAGACAGAAGAAAAAATACAAGTTGACTAGGGTGAATTTAAAATAAGTAGTGCTGGTTCAGCCTGCAATGTGAATTTCTGGTTCCATGAGGAGCAAGTTTTCCATACATATAAACAACCACAATTAACAAACATCCAAAAAGTACTTGTATTCCTCTGTAATTTAATTAAGTGCTATAAAAACACTTGATGTAATTCTAGAGGGTTTATGCTTTATGTAAGCCAGGCTTTCTGTGGGCAGAAGTAATGACATCTCACTGTACGTTAGCTCTGTGCTGCTAGTTCCATTCAGCTTTATGTTCACTAACAGTCACCAATCAAAAACTTTTTCTTTGTGCATGCGAGACAGGAGTGAAAGTCTCACTGCTGAGAGCCGGCTAGTTCATGCAAGTCCAAGTTATAGACTGATCAAATCCAGGAGTGAATCTGATTTGTCTCAGCCTGAATCAGATGAAGAGGGTTATGCACTGGTAAGTATATCTAAAGAAGGAAGTTTGCTTTCAAGCTATGATATATGAGGCTTTGGTTAGAGTAAATTATATTTGATTTAGGCATATACAAACTTGAAAGATTTGTAATAGAAATAATATAGCTATATTTATATAAATATTTACCTCCTGTCTGCTAATTATTTTGATCTTCAGCCCTGCCTTCTTCCTAAGGTGCTGATTCATCTTTGACTCTTGCATAGTTCACTGGATGAGGTAGTCTGCATCAGTCTTAGCCTATGCAACAAATGAATTCATCTTCTCCTAACCTTCTTCTCTTGTACTCTGTCTTAGTAGGTGGTAACCCATTATTCTTATATTTGATGTCCAGCAGTGCCTCTGGATTGTTAGTGAATGAAATATAATTTTTTTTCAAATAAAGGTAACTAGGTTTGAGCCTTCTTTTGTAAGATATATTTTATAGTGAATTATCTACTCTGTCTTAGTGAACAAAAAAATACCAAAACCTATTGACATTTGATTGACATCTATTTAATCATTTGAATGCAGACTGTAATTCTCATCAACATTTTGTATTATATTCTTAAAGCTATTACCTAGCTCCTTCAGAACTAAAAGGATTTAGCATATAAAAAAGCAAATACTTGCTGGCATTGGTGGCAGCACAAGTCTCTGAGTTCAAGGCCAACGTAGTCTATGGAGCGAGTTCCAGGATGGCCAGGGCAACACAGAGAAAACCTGTCTCAAAAACAAACAAACACACAAAAAAAGCAAATACTTTTCAAAAGAATAATCTACATGAATGAACAAACACTGAAAAAGAGACGAGACAGTAAGATAAAGGCCCTGAGTAAGATTTATGCACCACTAGGAATATTCTGAGTTGAGAGGAGTCACCAAACAGGAAGAAGTATTGTGCAACTCAGAGTGTCTAAAAGATTAAAACAACTCAGTTAAAGAGAAATAGCTATTTCTAGGTTTGAGACGAGATTCATTTCTTCTTTGAGCAATGGCATATGCATGAAAACATTTCATAGCATAGTAATGTCTTTATGACCCTGGTTGGATGAGGTTTCTGTTAATGTGTATGTATGGACAGATAAGACAAAATATGTTTACCTACACGTGGAGCATTCGTAGGTGTTTATATGTGTAATAGGTGAAGGCTTTCTATAGTATTTACCAAACAGCCCATTCATTAGTTTCTTCCATCGTCTTATCTGACACTCATTCTTTTGTTTGTGTGAAACACCTGAAAGTACAATTGAAATTGTCATAATGTTAAATGCATGTACTTAAGTTATGTATGGTTTATGTGTGATTGCTTGTCCATATGGACAGTTGAGAGTAGACAGTTTATACCCTCTACTACCTGATACACACAGAGTAGACTTCTATTTTTCCTGAAAGCATTTATTACCCCATTAAGCTGTCTGCAGTTCCATTTGAGATTTCTCTAACAGATTAAAAAAAAAAAAAAACCTTAAAAAAAGTATTTTAGCATGCCAGTAGATGCTTAGAACTGTGTAACTTTTTGTTAGTATACCTGTCAGTCAAGGCTAGTGCAGAGTTGGAAAAGAAAGGAAAACAAAGACAGAGGAAAGAGTATTAATTTGGGGAAACAGGACACTATCGCAGTGGTTTTAGGCATTTAAAATATTAATGGTCATGCCATAACTAGAAAATGAAAGTAAGGATGAAAAAAAGGTAGCAGCAAAGAGAACTGCTCTTCTGTTATAATTACTGCACATGCTTTTTGCTTGAGTTAGTGTCTGTGAAGTTGTGTGCATGTGCACTCCTATAGTTGTTTTCAGTGGTGTGTTGTTGCTGGTCGGACTACTGGTGAAAATAATAGGACAGTGCTGTAACTGTTAACCTTTTATCTTAATGCTTTAATGTTAGTAAAAGAAACTTTTCACAGCTAACCTTGTTTTTTCTTTTTTCTATTTTTTGGTAATAGAGTGGCCGACGAAATGTTGATTTGGATTTGGCGTCATCTCATAGAAAAAGAGGTAAATCTTAAGAAAATACTAAATACCAGATTAAATTAAGTAGCTGTTTTTCTGTCTGATATATTTAGAACTGATTGTTACTGGGATATCATTGTCAAAAGCAATTCAGAAGTATTTTATGAGAAAAATTAAAAGGAAGATAATTTTCTCCAAAATGCATATACATTTAAAATCTGGCCAAGCATGAGTTAATAATTTGTTCTGTATGATTTTTTTTTTCATGTGCTTTGCTAAAGAAAGCATAATTTAAAAATATAGAATTCCAGAAACATTGCCTGTCTTTTTTGGGGAGAAGATATATATATAGTTTTCTGTGCTCTGACTCACTAACGAAATTACCCGATACACATGCATACATCTTCAAATAGAAAGTTTCTAGGTTGCTTCCCCCTTTTGTTCTTTTATTATATGGCATGTAATAAACAATTTTTCTTTGAGGAGCAATTTTATATATTACCAGGAGTCTTTTCTGAGTATCTCTATCTTAATGAATGTTTGTTAGCACATTTGCAAATGGAGGAAAAGAGCAGTGACTTTAGGTAGTATACGTCCAAGAGCAACTGAAAACACTCTTAAATATTAGTCTTCTCTTATTAACTAACACTTTCATTTAAAATCATGTATATGATAGTTTTATAAAAATATAAAATGTTAAGAATTTCTACTGGTGGCTGTTTTCTAAAAGCTTGTGAAGAAAATTTGTTTTTGTGATATTCAGTCTTCTGTTCTTCAAAGTGAAACCCTTTCTTGGTGTTTTAGGCTTCTGTCCATATATAAAAAGAACCAAAACCAAACAAAACCCCCACAAACAAGAGAAGATAAGGAACATGGAAAAGAAACACCATAGGTCATATGATTAAAAATAATTTTGTATATATACTTGGAAGAAGAAACATTTTACTCATATAGACTAAAATTTGCTACAGTATTAGGACTATTAAGGCCCAGATCTGATACTTTCTTTATTGACAGATGTTGAAATTATGTATTAAAGGTTCTAGGTTTCTTTAAAAAAAAAAGTATAAGTTATTTGTGATATAAAAGAAACTATAGGATATTAATATAATGTGAAATATACATTCTATTTTAAAATACTTTGGAAATTGATGGTTCACTTGCTTTAACAATCAAGTTTTTGGAGTATAACTTACTTTTCTAGCTTGTTTAGCTCAGGTAACTAGTTTGATGTTACATGTTAACATCATGGCTGTAACATTACAGGCTGAGCATGGCGGCCATGCCTGTAATCTCAGCACTCTGGAGTGGTGGTAAGAACGCTAAAGCATTAAGTGCTTGCTGCTGCAAGAGAGTGAGCACCTGCAGACTTGCTGAGGAGCAGAGGAGAGCTAACCTAGAGTCTGAGAGCTTGCTACTATTTTATCATAGCTGTATTTGTAAGCAGTAGTCTTTTCTTTTTTTCTTACAAAATTTTTTAATGCTCTTGGAGATACACATTTGATATTTAATCTCTCCTAATCATACCAGGGCGAAACAAAGCAGTATCTTTTAAATAAAGCAAAGTGCCATGTTTACCTTCGAATTCAGAGTAGCCCATATTTTAATTGGGAATCAACATCTTAAAATGTAGAATTGTTGCCTATTGAAAGTACATGCAGATTTCCTATAGCTTTAGCTCTAAATACATATAAATTAAGCCATTAATCTTAATTTCATTTATGGACAAATTATCTTCCTTAAAAATCTCAAGGTAGTACTAGCACTTCCTTATTGACTTGTTGGAATTTAACTTTTTTTAAAAAAATAAGGAAATCACATAGAGACCCTCATGGAAATTTTTTTTTTTCTGGTAATCCTTTGATGTTTATTTTTTTCTATAATAAATACAATATACACTGAAATTAAAGATCAAAGTTATGTCATTGAACTGGTAAGAAATTTTAAGAGTAGAATAATCAGATTTACAGTTGAATAAAGTGTCATATTAATGGAAGGCTACATTTCTGACAATGCTTCCATGCCTTAGAATAAAGTGATTAAACTAATATGTGAAAAGTTAAAAATATAAATAAGCCATTAACATATTACTTATTTATTAATCAAATTTAAATTTTATCTGACATTTCATAACCTACTAGAGGGTCCAATTTACATATTTGACCAAAAATAAAAAAAAGGGTTATAACTGAGATTTTACCAAATGACAAATCTTAATTTAGTGTTTAAATCCAACAATTCTACATAGTAATTTTACATTGAGGCATATATCAAATAATTAAAACTTGAAACATAATAATCAGTAGAAATGCAAAAAGTATTGAGAGTTATTAAAACTTTAACAAATGGCTAATCAGAAGCATATCACGTAAGGATACCTGTGAAAGCCAAGTGAGGTGAGGTAACAAACATTTATAATTAAAAAGTGTTTAAATGCTTTAATACGACAAGCAAGAGATACACATGAACTTACTTTAACCTCAGTTATAAAGCCTCATGGAAATTTTTATAACTACTCATTTGGGAAATTATAATAGGGAGGCAGAGTGGTTATTTAAAATTTTATATCACTTAATGTGGTACCAATTTATTGTGTTAATGTTCCCAGGGAACAAATTTGCTCTTGATTTTACTCCTAGGGACAAGTGACTAGAAAGTACAACAGTTACTTTTCAGTCTCAGTATCCTAGATTTAATACACAATCAAGATGCATACTTTGTAAATTTTATTTTATTTACTGTAATAGTTGCCTTTCTTAAGAAATACTGAAAGTACATTTAAGAGGGTCTGGAGAGATAGATAGCTTACTGATTTAGAGCACATACTGCTCTTGTAAAGGTCCGGAGTCCAGTTATCACCCATATCAGGTTGTTGACAACCTCTAACTCTGATTCCAGGGGATCACATGCCCCCCTGCTTTCAAGATCACTAGTGTCAGGAGTGAAGCTATGTAGACAAGCTTCATCTCAAAAAACCAAAATGAAAAAATAATCATTAGTATTCGTGTGCGCAGACTGCCCCCCCCAATAGACATATAATTTGAAATCAAATAAATCTTCAATTAAAAATACATTTAAGGCCGGGCAGTGGTGGCGCACGCCTTTAATCCCAGCACTCGGGAGGCAGAGGCAGGTGGATCTTTGTGAGTTCGAGGCCAGCCTGGGCTACCAAGTGAGTTCCAGGAAAGGCGCAAAGCTACACAGAGAAACCCTGTCTCGAAAAACCAAAAAAAAAAAAATACATTTAATACTTGTTAGTAAAATTTTACAAATCTTAGCTATTTAGGTGATTTCCCTTGGATCACACTGGAGGAAGTGTATATTTTGTTTTGCTTCTAAATGGTGGTACAGTAAACCACTGTATTTCTTACTGTCAACATGAACCAGATGCCATAACTTTAATATGCATATCTTCTCTTGGTCAGTTGAACTTGCCAAGTATGAGAACTGTTTGGACCAAACTGTTTGTTGTGAAACTGTTACTTGTAGTATGGTGAACAAACACATGTGTAGCCAAAGAGGACTCTTTTATATGCATATTTATTCATTTCCAGTATTTGAGGAGGAAATAAAAAAATTTTCTCTTGAATAGCTTTTCCATTTATTGGTCTCAGTGGTCCTGAGTTTCTGAAAGTCAGATCAGAGGAACAGGGGAGTAATAATAATAATAATAATAATAATAACAACAACAACAACAACAACAATAATAATCAACCTTGTTGATTAACATTAAATGTGTATATATATGCTCAATGTCTCTAAAAATAGCTCCCTGAAAGGGTTTATCATCTGTTTTTCAATTAGTATTTGGCATAAGAGATATTAAGTTTCATGATAATAAACATGATTGTTCTTTTTAAAACCCTTAATTCTGGCTAAAGTTTCACTGTGATCTAAGAAAGCAAATGTGGAAGGTGCATAGCAATGGGGACTTACAACCTTTAGCCAGAGCGCATTGTTCATCCTTTTAGAGACAGCCATGTGAATTCTAGGCCAGGACAGTGGCAGACAGCATGGGTACCATAGCAAGACTCAGCCGGAGAACAACAAAAAAAGCTCAATTCTAAACCTAAACATAACCTATGAATTTTGTTAAAAAGAAACAGATGAAGCAAGTTGTTTCCTCAGTGACAAAGTGAAATTTATATTCAGAAGCTTATAAATTGCTCACTATCACCAGACATTACTTTAAGCCCTTCACAAATATGAACTTTATTCATAAGTTTATCAAATTTGCAACAGAACTTACCAAGTTATGTTGACAATTTTTGTATTTTGACAAATACTTAAAAGATTTGCCATAATTGTGCAGATTGAGCCAAGTATTCACAGGAAGATAATACCTTTTGCCAATGCTTGATAGACATTTCCTATGTGAGCTGAGGCTGTTATAGTGAAAGTGGTAGGATCTCAAAACAATTAAAAAAGCACTATCAGAAGCCTTATTAGTTCAACTTTATTGGTTAAAGTACAATTTAGTTCCCTTCTCTCAGGCCTTTCAATATGTTGTTAATATTTTCTTGCTAAAGTAATGCTGGAAGCATTGATCAATGTATGTTTCATGGTGTAGCATATGTGGGTGAAATGCTGTTTTATCTGTGCATTTCAAGTTACATAAAGAATGTAAATGTTATCTCCTGTATCAAATTTTTCCTTTTGTCTTCTGATTCTCATGTGGTAGCGTATTTACTCCTTTTTGGCCAGTTGAGCCCCAGAAAAAAGAAGAGCTTCAAGCAAGTACATGATGGCATGTTTAAATTTTTTCCCCCTTTAGCTTGCCTACATATTTTATGGTTTATAAAGTATGTATTGCAGCTCTGCCATGTTCATTTTGAAGATTCCATTTACGAACCAGAGTTGTAAGGACAAGTAAACAGTCTCAATGTCTTGCTGAACTGTTTCTTTAGTTGTCACCTCTGAGTTAGTAGTAAGCATTAGGCTTCATCTCAGTTACAGTGTAGAAGCCTTTGATATGTTCTTCAGATATGGGATTTACTATTTGAGATCAGACAATACAGAACAACCCGAACTGTTTGTTTAACAAAGTAAAATTCTGTCTCTCATTTTTATATGTTTAAATTTTGGAGCTCTGAAGTATTTTTTATGTCAGACTAACTATTTCAGTGGTAATTATTTTATTTATCCCAGTTATTGTTTTCTTGTTGTGTTGTTTGTTCTTTGAAGCATAGTCTCACTGTGTTGCTGGCCCGGAACACATTATGTAGCCCAGGTTGGCCTTGAACTCACAGAGATCCTCCTGTCTCTTCCTCCTGAGTACTGGAATTAAAGGTGCGCACCATGCCCCTGCAGTGCTTTGGTATGGTATCTTTCCTGTTTGTATGTTTTATTCATAAGGTGTTTATTTGAATCAAGTACCCAATAATTTTGTCCTTTAAGATTTTTCACACTGTAACTAGTAGGCCAAGTCTGACCTTTCACCATTTTTGAAAATTGGAACACAGCCATACTCATTTGTTTATGGACTGTTTTCTGATTACAGTAGCAGAATTGAGCAATTGTGGCAGAGACCTTATGGACCACTGGACTGTTTACTATGTGACACATAATAAGAAAAGTCTGCAGACTCCTGCTTTCTGAAAGGATTTAGTTTGGGCATGGCCAGTAATTCCATGGAATGTTCTTCTGTATATAAAGGCAGTTCACTGTTGCTAGATTAGTGGTTGAGCCTTTATACATTAACCAAGCAATTGAAATTTCCATGGATCTGTGAATTTTGAGTCATTAAATAACAGGAATTTATAAAGCTACTTCACACAGAATTAAGGAATCACTGTGAATAATTGGCAGATCTATCTGTCTGAGCTTCTGATTCCTCAGTGAGGAAACTGAACTAGATAGTCCTTCAAGTGTCTTTCATTTCTGTGGTTCTGACACTGGACAGTTGAAATTAGGGACTTGTTCTGAAAAGTAGCTTACATGTGCTAAGAGACAAAGACTCCTTTATTTTGAAATTTTGCTATTAAGTAAAACAAGCCCACTGCAGAGGAACTAAAAACTGACATTTGTTGGTTAAGGCCATATACAGCCCCTCAGTTAGAACTGCTTAAGAAAATGAGAAACGGGTGTCTTTAAGTTTCTGCTTTATTTAAAAAAAATATTTTTTACTTAATACATTATATACCCGTGAATTTTACTTTTTTCTATATCATATGAAAGCTATATATACAACTTGGAAATTTTTTCATATTGTTATTTTTCATCTCCATAAAACGGAAAAGAAAAAAAAAAGATTTCCCCCTCTGTATTGGAGATGGAGCCAAGATTTTCCTGCCATGCTAGGCAAGCTTTCTCTGTGGAGCTTCATCTCCAGTCCTGGAGCATTTATTATAAAGAACTCTTAGGCTTTGGAAATGGCTCGTGGATAAAGTGCTTGTGAAGAACCGAGACCAGATTCCTGGAACCCACATAAAGCTGAAGTACCTGTGTGCTTATAATCCTAGCACTTTATGGCAAGAAGGAAGAGAAGACAGGCCAATACCTTGAAGCTCATGGGCCATCTAATCAGGCATACATAGTAGCAAACAACAAGATATCCTATCTCAAAACAAAGTTGAAGGCAAGGACAGACATCCAAGGTTGCCCTCCGACCTCCATTTATGGGCCATGATATATGCTAGCCTCCACTCACTCCTCCATGTATATCGCATACCCCACCCCCCACACACATAGAAGCTATTGGAAAAAGAATATTTGATGAAAATATAAAAGGTACTTAAACCATCTACTCTTTGCTGTATGAATTATTTTTACTAGGATATTTAATAGTTTATAATATTAGTTCCCTATTATGAATTTCCATGTCTGATCTTAAAGCCCTGAGATTTAACTGGCATCAATGTAATAGTAAAAAAACAAGACTATATGCTAAGTATTATATTAGAGTATGTTCTTCTGTGGCCATTAGTGTGTAAGTAGTAATCTTTCCAAACTTTTCTGTCTGGTATAATTTAACAAGTACAGTTTTTTTATATGTATTTTGTTGTGTACCTTAAAATGAATTCCTAATATACAAAGTTGGTATGCTTATATGATAGGATATCGTATAGCAGCCAAACAATGAGTCATGGCTACGTATAGTAATTTGGATTAATGTTGGCAGTATTATATTGCATGAAAAGAATATATCTAAAATGATTACATAAATAATACTTCTTTTAGAAAGTAAAAAAGGGCTAAAATTGGGGCCATGTGGATAACTCAGTGGAGTGCTTGCAGTGCAAGTTTCAGGACTGGAGTTTGAGTCGCCAGGACCCACCTCAGGGCAAGCTAGGTTTGGCAGTCTACCTGTAACAGTTCAAGAAAGGCAGAGAGAGGGGAATTTCTAGAGGAAGCTGGATAGCTAACTAGCCAAAACATGGAGCGGTAGGTTTAATGTAAGACTCTGCCACAACGTGGAGAATAATCCAGGAAGACACCCTCAGTCTACTTTGGGCTTTTATATTCATGAGCATCCAGCAACATACACATGCAAAGTACATTATCCGTGTTTAGAGTGCATGTAAGACAAAATTCAATAACAGTAAAAGAAGAGAATAAGAAGCCTAGACTTCAGACTAATAAAAATTTAGATAGAAGGAGATAGTAAAAGATGGGTTGGAAAAACAAATTGATGCCAGTTTTTGTCAGTTTTATATTAATATTAAAAATATTATAAATATATAATTACAAAAGCAGGCCATGCATAGGACAATGACAATAATGTTTATTGTGAACCAAAAATTGTAATTAGCGGGGCTAGAGAAATGGCTCAGTGGTTAAGAGCACTGGCTGCTCTTCCAGAGGTCCTGAGTTCAATTCCCAGCACCCACATGGTGGCTCACAACCATCTGTAATGAGATCCGGTGCCCTCTTCTGACATGCAGGCAGAACACTGTATACATAATAAATAAATAAACCTTTAAAAAAAATTGTAATTAGCTCCCCGAGAATGTTTAAAGACAAGGTATATGAGTAGGACATGAATATATTTTATTTAAAGATAAATTTGGTATGATTTAGATTCTTGTATTCTAACATTTTAGAGTTTGATGTTTAAAGGTTTAACTTAAAAATATTCACCAGCAAGCTAATAATCCTTAGCTATGCAGTACCACTGATAATTTTGTATAGTTACTATTTTATAATAGATACCACGTGTTCTTGTTTGTGAAACTTTGCTTACTTTCTGTAGGAGCTTTACAACCTGAGGTAAAGATGCACATGATAGGTAGTGAGAGAGCTCCATATGTTAGTGAAACCCCCAAGTGATATTTATGTCTCCTTTTTATAAGTTTACTTGCCCTTGTACATTCACTTTTGCTAATGGGTCACTGCAGATGTGTAGGCTGATGTTAAGTTAGATGAAATCCTTTTTTCAGTGGGATTTACCAGTAGAGTCTAAGTGGCCCATTTGTTGTTGCTCGTGAGTAATGGTGTGGTGTGACACTGCAGAGCCTTTCTGGTTAAGCATTTTTGAGAGCAGCTTATGCATTTATTTTCTTCTGGTAGCGTGTTGCTAAAGCGCTTACATAGACACTGATACATCAATGAGGCTTTCTCTTTATTTTCTTACATTGCTCTATTTTTTTGTTTTTATTTTATACTATTTTTTACCAAAGCATTTGCCCAGATTCATTTAATGCATGCATGTATTCAAACATGAGTACCCATTTCTCACCACTTGGTATGATAGTAGCACTCAGCCCTCATCTAGTTTGAGAATGTGTTCTCTTCTCTACTTGATTGCTGCTGATGTATGGTTTTTCCCCCATTTTCATGTAGGTCCTATGCATAGTCAGTTGGAATCTCTGAGTGACTCTTGGACTCGCCTGAAACATACCAGAGATTGGTTGTACAACTCCTCTTACTCCTTTGAGTCTGACTTTGACCTTACCAAGTCTTTGGGAGTGCACACATTGATTGAAAATGTTGTAAGTTTTGTGAGTGGAGATGTGGGGAATGCCCCAGGTTTTAAGGAGCCGGAAGAAAGTATGTCTACAAGTCCCCAGGCCTCCATCATTGCAATGGAGCAGCAACAACTAAGGGCAGAAGTAAGTTGTTGATATTTACTCCTCGTAAGAGATTCGGGAAGCCAAAAGTGAACCACTGAAAATGTAATTCTGTGGAAAAACTTTCCCTTTCTTCTCTTTCATATCTGCCTCCCCTTCCCCTGCTCTGTGTGTGTGTGTGTGTGTGTGTGTGTGTGTGTGTGTGTGTGTGTGTGTGTGTGGTGATGTGATGTGATGCATGTAGATGTGTGCAGTCTAGAGGTCAAATTGGGTGTCCTCCTCTATGTTACATGTGCCACAGGGCTCCTAGGACACCTTGCTGGAGTCAGTTCTCTCCTTCCGTGTGAGTTCTGGGGCTTGAACTCTGGCTCCCAGTCTTGGCAGCAAGCACTTTTATCTGCTGAGCCATCTTGCTGGTCCAACTTTGATATTATTTTTCTGAGACAAGGCCCCTTCTGAATCTGGAGCTTACTGTTTTGGCTAGACTCTGTGCCTCACTTCCACCCCCAACCCTGGGATTACAGACATATGCCGTCAGGCCTAGCTTTTATATGGGTGCTGGGGGTCGAAACTCAGGTCTTTGTGCTTGTGTGGTAAGCTGTTTACCCTCTGAACTGTCTCCTTAGCCCCGACTTGAGCTTTTAACATCCTTTTCTTTTTTCTTTTTTGAGCTTCCATTTGAGTTTATTCTTAAATTCTCTTATTAGTGAGAGTAAGGACTTCAAGAGGAGACCCAGTTTCCCCAGTATCATTCAGCAACCACAAAGGGATACCAAAGTTCCAGTAATAATAGAGACTCATTGCTATCAAAGGTATTAAGAGTAAATTGCCAGGCAGTGTTGGTGCACGCCTTTAATCCCAGCAGTCAAGAGGCAGAGGCAGGTGGATCTCTGAGTTCTAGGCCAGCCTGGTCTACACAGTGAGGTCCAGGACAGCCAGGACTGTTTCATAGAGATACCCTGTCTCGAGAAATCAAAATCAATCAGTCAATCAATGACAGTCAGGTGCTCAACCCTATAGAAGACATTTCCATCCTCTCCAAGGCTCAGGGAGTGTTTCAGAAGAGGGGTTAGAAAGAATGTAAGAACTGGAAGACAGGGAGAATGGCTGCAAAACGCCATTTCTGGGCAATGAATAGCCATTGCCGTCGTGAATCTCAACAACTGCAATGATCACACTGGTTCTTCACAAGACTTGGCCCATTAATAAGCGTGCATGAATAGAGGAGGGGCTCAGGGGACCCCTCACCGCTAAACTGTCTCCCACTGGCTGATTTGTGGGAAGGAGGAGTCATTGCTTCAGTTGGGTGCTCACTGGTCTTTATACCCAGGCTCCAATCATCAGTCCCAATATCATGTTCACACAGATGCCCCGGTTAAACTAAATAGGTCACAAAACAAAACTAAAAGTAACAAATATGGGAAAGGGACAGGTGTGGAGGAGATTGAGTTAATATGAGTGAGAGGGAGGTAGAATAGGGTGCATAGAAAGAGTAACCACAATGCACTATGTACACTTAAGAAATTTGACATGCTTTTCTTAATGAAAGCAGCATGACATTATTTGAATCAGATAAAAAGAACATTTTAAAGTTTTTTCTTTTTTTTAATCATTAAGAAATTTTCTATTCATTTTACATACCAACCACAGATCCCCCTCTCCTCCCTCCAACTCCCTAGTCTTCCCCCTTAACCCTACCCCCATTCATTTTAAAGTTTTTACCTCAGAACAAAATAGTCGTAAGTCCTCCCTCTCCTAGAAAGGAGGTTGAATTGGCTGCCTCTCACAGCCTGTGTTCTGTACCATTTATCCCTGCACTAGGGGGTGGCACCATGATTACTGTGAATTTGAGGCTGGTCTAGACTATATAATTAGTACCAAGTTGGCTAGAGCTGCATAGGAGAAACCCTATCACAAAAGTAAAAGAAAAAGAAAAGAAAGCAAGAACAAAAAACTAGTGATTAAATCTCCACAATAATGATTGCTTCAGTAAGAACCCTGTCTTAGTTAGGGTTTCTGTTGCTATGAAGAGACACCATGACCACAGCAACTTTTATAAAGGAAAAACATTTAATTGGGGTGGCTGACATTTTCAGAGGTTTAGTCCATTATCATCATAGTGCAACATGGTGGCATGCAGGCAGACATGGTGCTGGAGAAGGAGCTGAGTGTCCTACATCTTGACTTGCAGGCAACAGGAAGTGGTCTGTCTTACTGGGCATGGCTTATGCATATATGAGAGCTGAAAGCCCACCTTCACAGTGACACACTTTCTACAAGATGACACCTACTCCAACAATGCCACACCTCCAAATAGGGACATTCCCTATGAGATTATGGGGGCCAGTTACATTCAAACTAACAAATACCCACTGATGAATAGAAACTTTCATGAGAAAACTAGGACACCCAGGATTTTGCATAGTCACAGAGTAACCCTCAAAGGTTTATTAATGATTGTTTTAACATGTCCACAGATCATTTGATATTTCTCCCTCCAATAGAAATTAAATCCTTTCCCCTTGTTAGTGAGCTGGACTTAGTGACTTGCTTCTAACAGAGTATGGGAAGGAGAAAAGAGTGATATTAGAAATCTGGCATATAGAACTTTAAAGCAATCATGATTAATATTATTAGTCATAAGTCATGTGGACATGATGTATCCTTACTATAATATGAGATTACTGAACTCTCTGGCTGTCTTCCCCAAATCCCTAGTTCTAGTCTAATGATGAGAAGTATGTGTTGGGGGCACAGGGTGCAAATCCAAATTTAGGAATATCCCTTAAGGTATACAAAGAGTACTCCCAAATTGTCATGATCGTGAAAAATGAAGACTGTATACTATTTCAGATTAATGCAGTCTTAGTTCAGGGCTTCTTGAACAATTACATTCATGATCCCCCCCTCTTTTGTTCAACCTGAGAAACTTTTACTCAATCCTGACTGTGGGTATATAAAATAGATATGCAAATCAAACATATACTGAGAAATTCTAAAGAAATTTCTTTTAAAACAATTTTTGGTATCAATTATCAAAGTTGAAAGAAAATTTGTACACTAATGAGATGGATTCGTGTGTGAGTGCATGATCCCGGCATGCATATGTGGAGGCCAGAACAAGAAGTCAGATATTGCCGGGCAGTGGTGGCGTACACCTTTAATCCCCCGACTTGGGAGGCAGAGGCAGGCGGATCTCTGTGAGTTCAAGGCCCGCCTGGGCTACGGAGTGAGTTCCAGGAACGGAGAGCCTGTAGAGGCCATTTTTATTCAAACCACCACAATTACTCTCTGCTTTATTGCTCTGAACCTCTGTTTGGCTAGACTAGCTGGCCAGTGAGCTCTTCGGAGTCATTGTTTCTGACCTCCAATGTTGGGGTTACAGATCCACAGACCCTGCTTTTGTATGAGTGCTAGGGGACTAAAACTCAGTTCATCATTCTTGCAGAGCAAACAGTCTTGCCTACTGGACCATTTTCCTGGTCCTGAGGTTGATTTTTTTTTTTTTTTTTTTGGTTTTTCGAGACAGGGTTTCTCTGTGTAGCTTTGCACCTTTCCTGGGACTCACTTGGTAGCCCAGGCTGGCCTCGAACTCACAGAGATCCGCCTGGCTCTGCCTCCCGAGTGCTGGGATTAAAGGCGTGCGCCACCACCGCCCGGCGAGGTTGATTTTTTTAGTCCAAATTTTGCTCATCTTTACTGAAGTAGTCATTACTGTGGGAATTGAATCTAAAATTGAGATCTAGTCTTTTGTTGTTCTTCTCTCCCTCTTCACTCCTCCCTTATTCTAGAGATAGAGTCTCTCCATATAGCTCTGGCTGGCCTGATCTAATTGGGAACTAGAGAGATGGCATAGTGATTAAGAAAGAGCACATGCTGCAGAGACTCAAGTTCTGTTTCCACTACTCAACTGAGGTGGTTCTAAAACTGCCTGTAACTCCACTTCAAGGGATCTGATTTCCTCTTATGGACTGTTTGGGCACCAGAATGCACAAGGTGTACATACATACACTTGGGCAAACATATATACACATAAAGTAGAATAAGTCTTAAAACTCGGTTAAACAAAGAATCTTGACTGAGGAGTTGATGTTGCTGGATATAAAGCATCTTCAGCCTTTTTCAGAGTTGATCATCAGTACTTTGATTTTTATGATCATGATCATTACTGTTGAGATCACTGCTTCACGTAAACACTGTCTTTATAACTTTCTGTAAATCTAAAACCACTTTAAGTAGTAACTCATGTTTTATTTTTCAAAGAAGGATAGGCTGAGCAATGGGTAGTTCTATAGTGTGTAAAGAAGGTAGAATCAGAAACTCAAGTGAGCCTTGGACAAACCATGGAGAAGTACTTCAGATTCTGAAGCTAAAGAGTATTCATTCTACATAATCTTACTACTTGTACTTATAAAACTATGTAGTTTTGACCTCTTCTCTCTTGTTTGCTTCATAGTAGCTCTTTGAGTAGGTTAGATACTGAACTGTTGAGTCTCATTTTGCACTTGAAGAAACTGCGACTCATGAAGTTCATTGACTTTCCTAAGAACACACACGGTGCAGAAGAGTATGGCTTTGATACCTTGGCTCCAAATTCTACATTTACTACTTTAAAAACTGGGGTATATTATTTAGCATTGGAGCACTTTAAATCCTGAGTTCAGTCCTCAGTACCAACCTACCTAAACCTACTCTTCCCATTGTATATGTGACTTTTATATTACAATATCTTAAAAAGGCTTTAGATGTATCTTGATTTAATAAACAATAATAACAAAATATTTATCTTAACAGATTCCTAGAAAATGTCAGACTTTCTTTGTCCTAAATAACATATTACCTGTGCTATACAGAATTCTTTATGTTTAAGTTTAGTGAGACTCTCAAATGTTTTTCTTTCAAGCTTCGTTTGGAGGCACTTCACCAGATCCTCACTCTGTTGTCTGGCATGGAGGAGAAGGGTAGCATCTTGCTGACAGGAAGCAGATCAAGTTCAGGCTTTCAGTCATCCAATCTGCTCACATCTGTGAGGCTGCAGTTTCTAGCAGGGTGTTTTGGTTTAGGCACTGTTGGACACACAGGAACCAAAGGAGAGAGTGGCCGATTGCATCACTATCAAGTAAGTGACATGCGTGAGCAACACCTTGTTCTGTGTTCAGTTCTTTATCTTTTTACATAGCCAGCTGGATGATGTGGCACTTGGTGATGTATATGACCAAGGTTAAAATTCTAAAAGCTTTTAAATTACTTAAGATCTGTCATTGTCTCGATAGGTTTGTAAGTTATATTACAGTTAGGATTAGGTAAGCAATCATACTGTTGTGCTTTTGGATTCTTTGTTGACTCAGCTTTATTAATCTATAACCAGATAGGGTAGAGCTAGGTAGGAGTTGGAATTTGGGAATATGAATTTTAATACTTTATATCTTAGACTTGGTTATTCTTCCTGTTTCTTTTTTTCATTTTATAAAGTTTTTATTCTGTTTTTTTGTTTTTTGTTTTTGTTTTTTTGCAACAGGATCCCTCTACATAGCCCTAACTGTCCTGAAACTCACTGTGTACCATGCTGGCCTCAAACTCACCTAGATCTGCATGCCTCTGTCTCCCAAGTGCTGGGATCAAAGGTGTGCACCACCTTACCTGGCACTTGTAAACTGTTAATTTTATGTCTTTATTTAGATAGGCAAAGTTGCTTTGGAAGGAAGGAGTACTACACAGAATCAACTACCAATCATTTTAAATTAGTTTTGTTATAAACCTTTCATATGCTGTAATTTAGTGAATGATTATTACCAGAGGGCCCTAGCATAGACTGAGGGCTAAAATGTTGTTACTTTTTTTTTTTTTTCCAAAATGGTATTATCATTGCTGATTTTAAAAGTAACTGTGTAATTTAGGATGGGATCAGAGCAGCTAAAAGAAATATTCAGATTGAAATCCAGGTGGCTGTCCACAAGATTTATCAACAGTTGTCTGCTACTCTAGAGAGGGCCCTTCAAGCAAATAAGCATCATATTGGTGAGTAACTTTCTGCAAACAAAGATGAAGGATGTCCATTTTAGCTTGAGGTTATGGCAGAGAATTGACTCTATTTTATGTTTAACACTAGTAGACCAACTGACAAACAAGAGCAAAATACTTGAAAATTGAATAGTTCTTTATATTATTATTTATGGTTTGGAGAAGCTTATTTTAGTTTCAAAGTTTATTTCAAAGAGATTCTCAACTGTCTTTCTATTTTTGTTTTTGATTTTTTTTTTAGAAGCCCAGCAACGTCTTCTTTTGGTTACAGTTTTTGCCCTCAGCGTTCATTATCAGCCAGTGGATGTTTCATTGGCAATCTCCACTGGTCTGCTGAATGTATTGTCACAGTTATGTGGCACAGACACCATGTTAGGACAGCCCCTGCAATTGCTGCCAAAGACTGGTGTTTCCCAGCTTAGCACAGCTTTGAAAGTGGCCAGTACAAGGTTGCTCCAGATTCTAGCCATCACTACAGGGTAAGTATTACAAGGTCTTAGAAGAACTACACGAGGCCTGCTTTTTCTACAGTATTTATCCCTTTTTGTATTCTTGTTACTTAATTTTTCCTTTCATTTCACATAGAACCTATGCTGATAAGCTGAGTCCCAAAGTGGTTCAGTCCTTGTTGGATCTACTCTGTAGTCAGTTGAAGAATTTGTTGTCCCAAACTGGTGTACTATTTATGGCCTCCTTTGGAGAAGAAGAAGGTGAAGAAGAAGAAAAAAAAGTTGACTCCAGTGGAGAAACTGAAAAGAAAGATTTCAGAGGTAGTATAAGCTTTTTTCTTTTTTATTACATACAGATACTTGTTGAGTCTCCATAGTGTGCATATGATAAGATGATTGGCTTCTTTCTGATAAGATAGGAAGGATTTTTACAGAGGTTGTGTACAACCCTTTCTCTGCACATACATGTGATTTAGATGAACTTCTGACTGAGCCGCCTCTGCTCTGTTCACTCTGCTGCTGCTTGACACTGCTGCTCAGCTTGGCTCTAGGGATGTAGATTTTAGGTGACCGACTTCTCCAGGCTACCTGGGGAGAGGCTAAGGTGCTTTCTGAGTTATTTAATTCTAGCAAATCTCTAACCACAGTCCTGATGTGAATGGTTCCCTGAGAGTAGGGGCTTTGATAAGTTGGCAGCTGGGTTATAACCAGAACTAAACTAAACACATACTTTCTTACACTTGGCCAGTATAAATTTTGCTTGCTGATACAACATTTGTTTTATAGTGAACATGGTTTTTAGTTTCTTTCCAGTTGTAAAATATCTTGGCAAAAGCAACTCAGGGGAGGAAGGTTTTATTTGGCTTACAATTCCATATTAAGTCCATGTATCATAGAAGCTACACCAACAGGAACTTCAGGAACAGAGAGCAGTGGCTTTCTTTCTTTCTTTCTTTCTTTCTTTCTTTCTTTCTTTCTTTCTTTCTTTCTTTCTTTCTTTCTTTCT